GTGTGTGAGTGAGTGTGTGTGAGTGTGAGTGTTTGTGAGTGACTGTGTGTGTGTGTGAGTGTGTGCCTGTGTGTGTGTGAGTGTGTGTGTGTGTGTTTGTGAGTGACTGTGACTGTGTGTGTGTGTCTGTGACTGTGTGTTTGTGTGTGTGGGAGTCTGTGTGTGTGTGTTAGTGCTGGTCGTGTGACTCACGATCTTGGGGTCGGCGGTGATGTTGTTCAGGTTGTTCTCATCTCCTCCGGCCTGGATGTAAAGTGAGCGGGCGACTAGTGTGGCCACTTCAGCCAGAGACTGAGTGAGGAAGGAAAGCTCGGATGAGTCTGACCGCACTGACACTGATTACAGCACAGTAAATACATCAGCAGGAGTTACACACCTTGGCCGCGTCCGTCTCGTACACCAGCTGTTCGTCTGGACTCAGGTCGGGAGGATACGTGACGTTCAGGTTCTCTGCGTCGTCGTACAGACTCTCGTAGTATCTGTTTCAGGTACAGATGACAAAAAACACGCTAAATGTGTCTTCAGACGCCTGACGCACACGATCATAACAAAGGCTTCACACAGCGACAGAGTTCATATCAGTCCGTCAGGAAACACAGTCATGTTCAAAAACAGCTACAAGAACTCGACGATGGATTCGGCGACATTTGTGTTCAGGATATTAAACCTTTGACAGATGTTCAGGTAGCTGATGTATGACATGACCAGGGACTTTTTAAAATCAATATCAAGATTACTAGGCTAAATTTGTCAGTATATAAGGAAAAATCTATTTAATCACCTTTTTGTCTTCAGTAGTTCATTTTAAATAGTTCTGCGATGTGACAAATAAATTAAAATTTTATTAAAATATTAAACTAATTTTTTTTATTTAATTTAATTTAAATTATTTATTTCCAGATTTGCACCTTTTTGTCTTCAGTAGTTCATTTTAAATAGTCCTGCGGTGTGACAAATTAACTCTAATAAATAAAAATATTGTTTATCTATTCATTTATTCAAGTTAAATTAAATTAAATTAAATACTAAATCAGCAGAAGATGCTATTTTCATGGCACATTAAATAAAATTAAAATATATTAAAATAAGCACAATAGCAATAATATTTCAATAAATAATTAAACTTATATACAATAATTCAATAATATTTTCCTTACAAGAGTATAGAAATTAGAGCAATTATATGGGCTATTTCAGTTTGATATCTGATTGAAAATCCAAAATTTTCCCGGGAAAAAACTGTTGCCTAATATCATTTAAAGCAAGCTTCCCAATAAAATATTGTTTACAGTCTTACAAAAATCACATGCTGGCTACAAATATTCTGTGTATCAATAATTCACGTCATCATATGTTTCTCCATTACTTTAACTCATCAAATTAATTTAACCAATTTCAACTTATTATACATAAAAATGTAAGGCAGCTCCTGAACTAAAGTTTTTAAGTTGGAAAGTTGAGGTGGAAATTTTACAGTGCATGTATAATAATGAAACAATAATAATCAAAATACAGTAGAGATAGTTATAGATGTTCAGCACGTCACACCGCAGGACGTCAGTTTAAGTATTTTATGTTTGTTCTCAAAGTTATATACAACTTCAGATTTACTAACACTTAAAAATTACACCAGAATATGATGTGACGGATCAGAGTAAGTCACGATTATCATTATTATAGTTCCTGAAGATCATGAAAAGAGTCAAGACTCTTTAACTTCATTAGCAGACATCAGTCATGATCCGACCTTGAAACATTAAAAACTAAATCACAGATTGATTCTGATTTGAGACCTGTTGTTGAATGAGGTGTTATGGTCTGCCAGCACGAGGCCTGGGATCCCTCTGACTCTCAGGAAGCGCTGGAAGGACGAGGGCGGCAACGGCTGACTGACCGACGGCTGATCCACTGTGAGGTTCAGACCAGCAGCAGCAGACTGCACTCTGCTCATCATCGCCGACACCTGAGAGAGAGAGAGAGAGAGAGAGAGAGAGAGAGAGAGTGAGGGCGAGCGAGATAATGCATGAGAGAAGAGAGAGAGTTTCCTCTCCTCCTCACTCACCTCTATGTCCACACTCTTGTTTTGGCGGGATACGGGGTCAGAGTGCATCCAGAGGCTCCGCCCACTGCGCAGACCAACCTATTAAAACACAGGAAACCTGTTACTAACATGCAGCATCTCAAACGACAAAAGACATCCGAAACAGGCAAAAGCCATCTACGTGTAACTTCAGTGGGAAACAAACGAATGACAGAGCAGATGATGTTAAATATTAAACTAAACGCTGCATTTCTCTATCACGCATTCATATCATTTCTATTCATGTGGCTTTTTTGGTTCCTTGAAAACTAATGATAATGATATTCCAAATGCCCAGTCAAATCAAATCTGTTATTTGACGTTCAATGCTTTTTTTATGATATAATAATAATTAATGTTTTTTTTTTTATTAGAGGTGTGCAATTAATCGAAAATATAAAATAAAAATACAATAATCGAGATAAAACTGTTATTGCGCCCCATTCCGCCCCCTTTCAAATCAGTAAAATCATATGTGATTTTTGCAAATTGGGACATGCTTGATTTATTAAATTTGATTAGATTTATTCATGTTTTTAAAAGCATGAAAGAGAACTCGCGTTGTTCCTCAGAACAGAACACGGACATGTAAATTCATCTTTTAGCTCAAGGTGTGCGCCTAAACGGTCAAATACATGCAAAAATGTGTCAAAATGCAGCGCTTGGTGATTATTAATCACATAAACCCTCGTCGGTTATGTCTCAAGTGAACGTAAACAGCGAGAATGAGAATACGTGCGTAACAGTAAATTGGATCCGTGCGGCTCTTAAAGTGACAGCAGCCTAATAAACCTGCTGCTGTCTGTGTCATTAATGTTAATCAAACAACAAAAGACAGAGAAAATCACTCACTGCTCTCGACTGAAGGACTTTTGTAGCTTTAATAATAAACAAAGGAAGTTTAATTCTTTCAGTGAAGACTATGCTGTTTTATTTTACATTCGCTCACCTCACTCTTCTTGTCAGTCAGCTCGACTCACTCTCCTCACTGGAGAAATTAAATCTGATCTGTGATGCGACTGTCGTTCGGCACGCTGCATTGAGCAGCCGCGCTCAGTTTTTAATTGTAGTGTCTGTTCTTTTACTGAACTAAATGATTTTTATTACTATAAAAAAATCAAAACGTTGGTGGGGGTCGGTGACACGGTGGGCAAGTGACGTAACCGGTGTTGCGGCTTAACACCGGTATAACCGTCAGCACCGTCTATCACGGCAAGCCTAATCTCAGTATGCAAACGCGCTGCTCTGAACTAATTTACAGTGCATTTCTTATTTTGGTCGCGCATGCGGACCTGCGGACCACTTATGTGCACCCCTGGTTATAAATATAAACATAATAAAAACATCATAATAATATTGTTAATAATAGAATATAAATAATCATAATAAAAAAAAAATAATAATAATACTACCAACATAATATAAATAATATATAAATAAAAACATTGTTATTGTTATTATTAGCAATAATAAAAGAAAATAATAATAATAATAATAGAACATAAATAAATTGAACCACCAGAACAACAGTAATATTAATATTATCATTATTAATACAAATATTAAAAGAAACTAATAACAATAATAAAAATCAACGATCAAATCAGTTATTTGATTTTGTTACATGCTTTTTTAAATGAAATAATAATAATAATATTAATAATTGAATATAAATAACCATAATAATAATAAAAATAAATATTATAATAAAAGAATATAAATAAACATGGATGTGTTCGTACCTGCCCAATTTCCAGCATGGAGTGCACATTGTTCAAGTCAATAACAAAATCGTTTCTTTCCATGTCATACACCATTTTTGAGCTGCCAATGTAGTCAAAGGCTTCCTATGAGAGAGAAGGAGAGCTTGTAAAAATATATAAAACTGTAATAAAATACACGAACAGATGCTTACTGCATACTTCTACTCATACAGCATCTCCGCTGTAGTGCATACTAGTGTACTGCATACTGCACAGTATATACTACATGCAGCAGTACACAGTATACAGTGATAAACAAACAGGTCACATGACCTCGTTATGTTACATGTGTAACAGCGAGTGGTTACAAATGTTAATATTCGCATCATTTTAAATCCAGTTTTGTATCAAAATGCCTTCACTTCTCGCAGTCGGATCTAATAATGATTGAAGAATAATGTGTAAATTATGATGCTGACCCCTTGGAAGAAGCTGAAGAAGATATTGTGAGGGGGCGGAGCTTCCTGAGTGACAGGATGGAGGGCTTGAATGGTGGCCAATAGGGTGACGATTCCAGACACGGTTCCTTCGGCCGACGGCGCCTGCTCCCAGAAAAACGACCTGCCGTCGAGCTGAGACACAAAAGAAGAGTGTTCGGTTCACAGCTGGAAACCTCTAGCAGAACATGAGCACAAATGTTAGTCTTGAACAAACATCTCGAGTCTATTCCTCACCCGTGTGGCTGCGATGACGACGCTCTCGTTGGCTGCGTGGCCCTTGGCGCTGTTGTTGAGGGGCCGAGTTGATGTCCAGACGTTAAAATCACTCAGCGGGTCACACAGGACTTCTGACAGGAGGCGAGACACATGGAAAATAAGTATGCTTTAACAGATGCTCATAAACAGTGTCAAAACTACATGTGTAGGTGAACAGATTTCCTCTGGTGGGTCTGCTATAATGGCAATTTTATTTACAGAATGTTTTTAATTTACAGAAATTAGGAGTGTGCATAGATTAAAATGAGTAAATACAATAATTATAATTAATCAAATAAAATAATGCTGAATGTTCTTAAAGGTTCCTGCTCTTTTTAATCAGTTTTAAAATTTAAACGATTAAAAAAGTATATATAT